GCTGGGATTACAGGCGTGAGCCACCACACCCAGCCAAGAGCTTCATTTTTATAAAATTGAGCCAGGTCCTATTGTAAGAACTTTGTAGGAAGTATCCCATGTACCCCCACAGACCCTGAAAAGACTGTTCTACACAGGTGAGGAAACTGAGGCTTAAGGAAGCCAGGGGGCTGGCCCATAGCCTCTATGAGGTTTTGGCCTCTACACCTAATATGGTTTAGCTGTGTCTCCACCCAAATCTCTTGCTGAATTGTACTTTCCATAATCCCCACATACCATGGGAAGGACCCCATGGGAGGTAATTGAATCATGGGGGCGGATACTCCCATGCTGTTCTTGTGATAGTGAGTGAGTTCTCACAAGATCTGATGGTTTTATAAGGTGCTTTTCCCCCTTTGCTTGGCACTTCTTCTTCCTGCCGCCACATAAGACGGACATGTTTGCTTCACTTTCTGCCATAATTGTAAGTTTCCTGAGGCCTCCCAGCCCTGCGGAACTGTGAACCAATTAAACCTCTTTCCTTTATAAACTCCCCAGTCTCGGGTAGTTCCTTATAGCAGTGTGAGAACAGACTAATACAACACCTCAACCCTGACCTATAAAGTAACCCGGCTCCTAAGCTGAGAAGGGAGCAGGAACATTAACCAAGAGACAATCCAACCCGTTCATGCCCGGTGGGTCCTCACTGACCTTCCCCCAAGGTACCTTAAGGCCAGAGAAGTGATGGGGAAGGGAGTTAGGGTGAAGGCAGAAGCTCCCAGGCTTCTTGTATGAGCCTGGGAATTCCCCATCATTGCCTTGGCCTCTAGATTCCCTACCCCACTCCCACAAGCCCAACACCCTGTTGCTGGCAGAGTGGTCTTTTCAAAACAAGTCTGGGCATATCAGCACCGGGTTTATAACACCTTGATGGTGTAATCCACACATCTGGAATGTGAGCTTTCCAGGCAGAGGGAACTGCACATGGAGGGGCCAGACAGGGGAGAGAAAGCAAGAAGCATGTAGCAAACTGCCAGTAGTTGAGAATGGCTGGGACGCAGAGTAGAAATGGAGGACTTCGGATAGATGAGTCTGGCCCTACATAACCTCATTTCTTATCCCCATTTTACAGATGATGAAGCTGAGGTTCAAGCCAATGACAAGCCTGAAGCCACATGGCTAGTGAGTCGTAAGAGTCAGAACTCAAACCCAAATTCATCTGACCCCAAACTTCATGTATCTTGAACCACAGGCTCCATCTCACTGTTCACACTCTCACCCACCTCCACCCATCAAAGGTGCCTCTAGACCTTTGCTTGTGTTGTTTGTTCTCTGCCTGACATGCCTCCCTGTCAGTCACTCTCAGTTGAAACCTGGCTTAGTCGTCAAGTGCCTGCTCACCAGCAAGACCTCTTCTCTTCAGGGAGCCTTTCTTGAGCCCCACAACTGAAATGAACTTCTTCCCTCCAGGCCAGTTTGCCGGTGCCCCTAATCCATGGTTTCCCAACCTCAGCCCTACTGACATTGGGGCTGGATAATCTTTGTCATGGGGGCTGTCCTGTGCACTGCAGGATGTTGAGCAGTATCCCACTCTCCACCCACTAGATACCATGGCACCCTCCTCAAGTTGAAACAACCAAAATATGTCTTCAGACATTGCCACTGTCCCCTAGGGTGCTAAATCACCTCTATGGAGAACCACTGCCCTAAGCTATAATACTCACTGCCCTCTGTTTTGAACCATAAATAGTTGAGTCTGTGTCTATCTTACCAGTAAAGCCTGGGTTCTCAAACTAAGTTGTCAGCAGCGGACAGACAGGTAACCCTGGTGTAGCAGGGGTAAACTGGCTGTCTGATGTCCTGGCAAAAGGGGTCCAGCACACTCAGCCAATGGTTGTCATGCAGGACTGTGGGCCCATTGTTGCTAGATCTGATTTTTCAAGACATTTTCTTTTGTTTTTGTTTTAGATGGAGTCTCATTCTGTCACCCAGGCTGGAGTGCAATGGCACGATCTCAGCTCACTGCAACCTCCACCTCCCAGGTTCAAGTGATTCTCCTGCCTCAGCCTTCCAAGTAGCTGGGATTACAGGCGCCTGCCACCATACCCAGCCAATTTTTTGTATTTTTAGTAGAGATGGGGTTTCACCATGTTGGCCAGGCTGGTCTCGAACTCCCTACCTTAGATGATCCACCTGCCTCAGCCCCCCAAAGTGCTGGGATTACAGGTGTGAGCACCTGGCTCAAGACATTTTCATGTATAATCTCCATGTTTAAAAAAAAATGCTGGCAATGAATTCAATTCTAAAACAAAGGAACAAAAACA